CCTGGGGCTATGAGGATGCTGTGTAGATATTTCTAGTGAAATTTTTATTGAAGTCAAATCTGTAGCAGTTGCCTGCGCTATGGAAAGAAAAAAATTAGACAAAGATGTTTCAATTATATATAATATGATATATTGATGATTTAAAAAAATTATAATCATGTTCATCTTATTTAAGCTTAATCCATTTTTTATCGATTAGCAACACAATGGTGTACAAAATAGTGTTCACAATTCATCTAGGCCACATGCGTAGCATTAAATAGTGTGTAGTAAAACAGACAGCCTATAGTACGACCTGTCTTTTTAGCTGTCTTTATGTTTGATTCAAGGTCTATGGAGACGATCCCTGTCTGTGGGTTGAACGTGCCCTAAGGAACCAGAAGTAAAAGCTACTGATCCCAATGCTGGTACTCGGACGATTCATGTAACCCCTATAAAACACCAACGTCGCCAATCGACGGGTCCATTCGCGAGCCATGCCTCCGAGAGGACACCAGCCGGTTGATTCATTGGCGACGGTCAGCATGTATAAATACATGATCAATCAATGGAAACAATCTCAATTCATTCATTCTCTTTCTCGGTTACAACCACGCTCAAATAGGGAGCACGCGCAAGCGCCTCCATCTTAATACCAGCGTCCGTCAAATGGCTGCACTACTACTAGGCCTACTACATTCCAACACAAAGCAATAATGTCTCTTAACATCAACTAGAATTGAGTCAATTATTAGGTTGATAAATGTGACGTACAGACAAATTTTGCAGCTCCTGCGACGAATGGGCCAAAACTCCATGGCTAGGCACTCAGGGCTCATACAAAGCGGATCGGAACTACATGCAGTTTGGGTTATTCCCAGTCAACATACAACCGAGGAGAAAACCTCAGACCACTGGCGTCAAGTGTTCTCCTGCTGGCTCCATCTTGGAGGATCCCATTCTGTTCTGCTCATCTGTGTTCCACCAACACCATGATGGCATCCATTTCCTGTGGACATAATTTGATCAAGGGTTTGATCAATAATGACGTGAATCTTTTTTGAAAAGATCAATGTTTGAAACAGTCGTGGAGGATGATAGGTCTCCTATATTATTGGTCAACACCTCTCGCTCTAATTAGATTGTATTTTTACCTCACATATTTCTGTTTTGTAGAAGTGGCATGGGCCACCACCTATGTCAAATGGTCTCTGCTAAAGTTCTAAGAGGCCATTTGCAGAGGCGGCCCACAACATCTCAAGTGACTTTGTATAATTTATATGGCCTGTCTCACAATTTTGTTATTCCGGCTGGCGATTTGCACGGACAGAGCCCAAGCACAATGGCCACTGTAATTTATTTGCCCTGTCTCACGAAATTGAATTTTTCATAGTGTCAGCTAGTCTTTCACTCTCTGGTTGGGGATGTATTTGTGCAGCTTTTGGATCAGTCAGCTCAGTGTTACTGTGTTAGAGAGTGTTGGGTCCTGTGAACTCAAAATAGCGTGATCGACTCCTCTACTCATCTACTGTGATAGGTTGCAGGAACCTACTTCCAGTTTGTTCTCCTCTGGAGCTCCCCAAGGGAACAAGATCCTCTGAAGTCGAGCAAAACGACTTGTTTCTGCAGTTGCGATAAATCCAACCACTCGTGCGTATTGGACGGTGAGCAGAGTATATCGCTGCCCTCCTCTCCACGCTGGGCTTTGGCCCAAGTAGAACACAACCATGACGTTCCTTTTTTTTTATGCGAGTAGTCGCTGTTTTGGCGCCGTTCTTCTTGTTTTTTAGCGCGAGAGTGCAGTCGGGCGGGGCGTATCTGGGTGCCGCTTTCGGGTTCCATGCGCCGGTGATCGACATCGGCTGGTGTTGCTCGGTCTCTCGCTCGGGTTCCATGCGACGATGATCGACATCTCCTGGTGGTGCTCGGTCTCCACCGATATACAGGTCCCAAAAATCTCTGCACTCACGTCCTCTCTTCTGTATCCTGGTGCTGCTAGCTAATTTGATTCTCGTGTCCTCTCTCATCTGATTGTGCTGAAATGATAGATTTAGGAAATCTGGGATAGAACTGCATCAAAACAAAATCAACATGTTTAAGATGGAAGGTTGAAGGAAACAAAATCTGAGATCTACTATGGAAGAAAATGGGTATGTAATGCCACTACTGCTCCCTTTTATCCATCTGATTAGATGTTCAGATCACCTTCACCACCAAATCAAATATTTATTTGAACAGCATAAATAATATCATGTTCATCATTATTTGTTTATTGTAGGGAGGGTTTGTTTCCTAGTGTTTCACTTCAAGTTGGAATGGAGTTCAGCACTATGGATGAGGCTTGGATGTTTTGGATTAGCTATGGGGGTCAAAAAGGCTTTGAGGTGAGAAAAATGTATACAAACAAAAGAAAGTTAGATGGGAAGGTTAGTTCCTGCAGATATGTTTGTGCAAATGAGGATCATAGAAAGCCAGATAAAAGAGATCATCTAACAAAGTGTCCAAGAGCTGAAACTAGAACCAACTGTCAAGTTCGCATGGGACTTATAATGGACAAGAAAAAAGGAAATTATAAAGTGACTGATCTGTTTTTGGAACACAATCATACACTTCAGCTGCCACAAACCTCACACTTGATGGCGTCCCAAAGAAAAATTTCAGAGTTACAAGGTTTTGAAATTGAGACGGCTGACGATGCAGGAATTGGGCCCTAAGCTGCTCATGAGTTGGCTTGCATCCAAGTTGGTGGCTCAGTTAATCTCAGTTACACTCTTCAAGACCACAAGAACTATTTACGGGGCAAGCGACAACGGGAGATGGCATATGGTCAAGCAGGAAGCATGCTTATGTATTTTCAGGAAAATTGCCGAGAACCCATCATTTTAATATGCACTGCAGATGGATCGAGAAGAACAGATTGCAAACATATTTTGGGTTGATGCTAAAATGCCCACTGACTATGCATATTTTGGTGATGTTGTCAGTTTTGATACTACCTTTGGTACAAACAAGGAGAGTAGGCCTTTTGGCGTATTTGTTGGGTTCAACCATTTAAGAGAAACAGTGGTTTTTGGTGATGTTCTCATGTACGACGAGACATTTGAATCCTTCAAGTGGCTATTTGAGACCTTCCTGAGAGCCCATAATGGCAAGCAACCTAAAACAATATATACCGATCAAGATTATGCAATGGGGCAAGCAGTTAAGGAAGTTTTTTTAGAAGCATGGCATGGTCTGTGCACTTTTCACATTATGCAGAATGCTGTCAAGCATCTAGCTGAACTGGATGATGAAGAATCAGGTGCTTCTCCCAAACAAGAAGTAGAAGACAACAATAAAGAACCGAGTATTCTCTCAGATTTTAGTGCGTGTATGTATGAGTATGAAGATGAAGCAACATTTGAAGAAACATTTAACATCATGAGGTCAAAGGCAAGCAAGCAAACTTGGTTGGATAGTATATACAAGGTAAGAGAAAAATGGGCTGAATGTTATATGAAGGATGTGTTCACATTAGGGATAAGAAGTACACAACTCAGTGAGAGTTTGAATAGCGACCTAAAGCGACATTTCGAATCTGATTTTGATATAATCAGATTTCTTAAGCATTTTGAAAGAGTTGTGGAATATAAAAGAAAGAAGGAATTGCAATCTGAATTTGAATCAAGGAAAAAATTATCTAGAATCAAAATGAGGACACCTATGTTAATCCAAGCTAGCAAGCTGTACACACCAACTATTTTTGAAGCTTTTCAAGGTGAATATGAGAGATCAATGGTAGCATGCACCAGAACATTGGAAGGCACAAATGAATATCTTGTAGCAATTGGGAGTCTAGATGAAAATTTTACCTTTGAGAAGGAGTACAAAGTTATTGGTGATCCATTAGAACAGATCAGTACATGCAGCTATGGGCAATTCAATAGAATCGGAATACTATGTGGCCATGCTTTAAAAGTCCTTGATTTGATGAATATCAAATCACTTCCCACACAATATGTACTGAAGAGATGGACACGAGAAGCACGCAGTGGAGCAGTACAGGACAACAAAGGCCGAGACATAATAGAGAATCCAAAATTAGATGATATGCTTCGCTACAAAGATATGGCTCGCAAATTTCTCAATTTGGCATATCGAGCTGCCAGCCATCCAAAATGCACCTTATTAGTAAACAACACACTGGATATGCTCAGCAAGCAAGTTCAAGAAGAAATGAATGGTGTTACAAGCCCTATGGATCCCATCATCGCTCCCACCAATGTTACTCTGCCTAATGAATTGTTGAGTACAGCAAGCCTAAAGAAAAGGAGGTGGAAACAAAAACCTCGAAGCGCAAAAGAACTTGGCTTGACAAGAAGCGCAAGTGTACAAAAAAGGGAAGTAACAAAAAGGAAAACAGTACAAAGGTGTGTGACAAGAAAAAAAGTTCGAAGGTTTGTGACAAGAAAAAAGAAAAATGTTCAAAGGTATTTAACAACACAAAATATATCAGATTCTTTCTAACTGTATTCGCTACAAAAAGTTTCAATTGTATTTAACAATTTGATTCTCTTCTATCTGATCAGGAGCAACAGACTACAAAAGTGTCAGTCGATGATGGCGCAACACTACAAAATACATGCCTGAACCATCCATCTTTACCTCAGGAAGAGATCTGTGAATCATACACAGTCATCAATAGTTTCTCTCAACTATTGACGGTAATATTACAAAGTAATACATTTTTCCTCTGAATCATACATTGTCATTATGTTGAATTATTTTTGTTCTATTTTTCAGGGAGCAATGACAGATGGTGTTATTGGTGAATTCTAGTAGTACAGATTATGTCCCCTCAGATAGTTTTGGTTTTGTGGTTAGAGTGTAATCAGCCAAATGGAGCTTCCAGTAATATGCATCATTTTGTGCATCTTGATGAAATTGCAGTAACCAGCAACATCTTTTGTGCAGCCATATGAAATTGTAGTAACGAGTGACATCTTTTGTGCATTGCATTCACAATAGCATTCCAAATCAATTTACAACACAATGACGATATTTACGTCTTCTGTAATCACAAATTGTTTGCTAGCACTTGAACAATTTACAGAAGGGATTCCCTTTACAAAACTGATAGCAATTACAGTATCTTCAATCACTACTCTTTTACAGTCCACCGATGGGCCTGACCATAGGGCGCCAGGAGCTACGGCCACGAAGCCGATCGGTCTCCAGGACCAAGCTCCACTGTTATTCCTCAGCTCGGTTCTCAACCTCAGCACCAGCATGACCAAAGCCACAAACAACCCAGCAAAGATGAAACCACAGAGCAGGGAGCGGGCAAATTCTCCAATCCCCTTACCCACCACATACTCCATGTCTAGATCAATTGAGAAGTCTCCATCCATACCTCCACTGGTCTTGTTCATCCTCTTTATCTCCAGTGCATTAAGGATGCCACTTACTTCATCAGATAGACTCTTCTTCGAGCCACCAATCGCCAATTTCAGTATCCCTTCATCCTTCACATCGACAATAAAGTCAATGTAATAAGGATAGGCCAAGAATCCGTTGACACTGGAGAGATCGAAATCCTTGACTGCCAGATCACCATTGACGTAGATATTGAAGTAGAGCTCGTACAGCGCCTTACTGGCAATGTCACAGAAGTGCATACGCACAAGGTATCGGCTGCCAGCAGGCACAGGCGGAGGATGTGGTGCCCGCGGCAGCGGACGGCGAGGTCGTAGGACACGCGGCAGGAGAAGACCCGCGCGGAGGCATGGAGCGGGGACGGCGGCGGCGGGGAGCCGGCGGCGCCGCAGAGGAGAGGGACGGGGAGGAGGACCGGAGGCGGGTGGACGCACAGTCGGAGTCCGACACGAAGCGGCGGCCGTCGGGGAGGACGGCCGGCGCCGCCGCGCCACACGCGAGGAGGTGGTTGTCCACCGGGGCGAAGCGCGCGGCGACGACGGTGGAGCAGAGGGCGCCGATGAGTATGAGGCCGAGGGCGAGGCGGCACGAGGTTGGTGGAGCGGCCATGGCGGTGGGGAACGCCGAGTCACCGACCCTTCAGACCTGGGAGGAAGAGGACGGCGGAGTCGAACTAGTGGACGCTAGCAATTGGGCTGATATGGGCCTGGTTACAGGCCTGTGAGATTGGTTCGTTTCCTTGGCTCACGGTTGGATAGAAATCAGATGGTTTAGATCAGTGACTGCAGAGACAAGTCGTTTTGCTCGACTTCAGAGGATCTTGTTCCCCCCAAGGACCCCAACGGGCGACTCGGGGGCGATCCGCCGGCGCCGCTCGGCCTCCCAACCGGCCGCCGTTGCCGCCCACCGGCATACGGTAGCGGCGGCCAGCGGCGGCCCCCAAAAAGGGTACCCGTCGCAGCTCCTCCCCCCTTCCTCCCCCTCGCTCCCCGTCCCCTCCTCACCACCCCTCCCCTGCACCTTCGGCTCCGGCGTTTTGGCCGGACGATGGAGGCGGACTTGGGCCTCCTGGGGCCGGATCTAGTGTCCGCTCTCGACGCCGCCTCGCGTCGTGGGCTCCACCGCGGCGGTCGGCGGCAGCCAGGGCCCGAGCGGCCGTGGCCGGATCTGGCCGGGCGCGGCCTGCTTGAGGTCTCCCTGCGCTGGATCTGCTCGCTCCAGGGGCAGCGGCTGCTCGGGAGGCCGTTCTGCCCACGGCAGCTGGCTCTGGGACATGCAGTGGCTGGCCGCGACTGGTCTGGGAAGGGCCATGCCTGCTTGTGGCCCTCCGCGCCGGATCTGCGCGCTACGGTGCCAGCGCCTGGCCGGGAGGTTGCGTACGGTGTGCAGCCGCCTGCTGGGGACGGGCGGCTGGTTAGGTCGCGCTGCGGCTGGCCGTGTCCGTGTTGGCCGGTCCGACCGCCCGCGCCTACCGTGGGCCAGTCCTCCCTGCTCACCGGTGCTGCAACATCGTCGACACCTTTGCAGCCCGATGCCTGAGCGTGCCGGCTGTGGTCGAACTGGTCTGGGTGAAAACTCTGCCCGTCATCTTGCTTCGGGCCAGCGGCGGTGGTGCAGCTTGTACCATCTAGCTTCTTGGAGGCGTCGTCGTAGGATCTATTCGTCACACGAGTCGATGGGGGTCATATGGGATGAAAGTCCTTCTCGTGCGCTCCTTCCAACGTTGTGATGAAGCGGCGCCTCCGCCGGCGTTTGCGGCGCCCGTAGATGCGTCAACTGAAAACCCGCATCACCAAGCCTCGGCGGAGGAAGAGGGCGATTCCCCACAGCCACAAGTGAACACTGCACAGGTGCCGTCGCAAGAACGTTCACCGCACACCGGCAACGGTAGCTCGGCAGCACTACGGCTCAAAAGATTCACTGAAAAAAATACTGCAGAAGCGCCGCTGCTCCCTGCGCCTACGCCCGAGCAGACAAGGACATTCGTTCCCACAAGAAGCAGGTGGATCGCCTGCGCCTACCGCTCAAAAGATTCACTGAAAAAATATTTTTGGAGACCAATATAAAAGTTTTTGCGTTATTCCATTAGAAATTTATGGATTCCAAATTTTTAATGAAGCAACTTGAAAGTTCACATAGATCAACTTGGAAGCTCCAGATTTTTTTTTTTGAAATAGATTATAAAATTTTGCTGGATTGACTTGAAAATTTTGAACAAATCTAGTTTAAAGTTTTTTGTTATAATATTTCAAAGTTTTTAATGAAACAATTTTAAAGTTCATGTAGATCGACCTAAAAGCTCTAGAATTTGTTTTTTCTGAAATGGGTTATAATTTTTTTGTAAATGGACCTGAAAGTTTAAATGATTCAAGTTTGAAGTTTGTGTTATTCTATTTGAAAGTTATGGAGTTAAGGAAGTTTCTGAATCCTGGCTACAAAGGTTTCTTTATCGGAAGCTGTTAAAACCGACTGAGTTCTACGAGCACCACAGAATTTGGGGCATTGGAGGCTCATCCGCGTGCCGACACCTCGCGCTACTTCTTTTGCAAAAAAGCCCTCTAGCTTTTTTGAAACCAACCCGTAGTCTAAATCTCTCGATGTTCATCGGCCTCACTCCCGCACAGGTTGGGTGGCGCCCGAAACCCTAGCTTCCCTCATCTCTTCCCTCTTATCACCTCCACTCGCGGTGACGGAGGAGCTCACGGATCTGCGAGGACCTCCCCTCCCCTCCGCTCGCGGTAACCGCACGGATTTGCGAGGACCTCCTCTCCCCTCTGCTCATGGTGACGGCACAGATCTATGAGTCGGTGTCATCTCTCTCGTCTGTTTCTCAGTCTCCCTTTCCTCTCTCCCTCTTTACCGTCGCCGCCGGCGCCTCCATGCCCTCTCCTCGGCATGCCTCCTCCATGCCTCTCCCCACCTCGCCCTCTCCTCCTCGCGTCGTCTCCATGCCGGCATGAGCAAAATATCGCTTTATCAAGACGAGGTGAGCTCCTCCGCCTCTGAATATGGTGTAGTGGCCTCGATTCACACCCCAATCTGTGAAGGGAGGAGTGTGGTGCAGTGGAACCCGAGCCCTCGATGGCTCCATCTTGCCCCTTGGGCTAGGACAGTCCAAGCACATGAAGACTAACAGCTTCGTCGCTCCCACCGGATCTGCTAGCTCCCCGGCCATCATGTTGGAGCGTTCCTGCTTCCGTCGGATCTGCGAGTTCCTCATCATGTGGGAGTAGAGATCGGAGAGGAGGCGACGTCCAGCAAGGGTGGCTCGCGGATCTCAGCGATCTAGCAGCTGCCTTGAGCACTCTGATGCACACTGGAGTGGTGGACTCTGTAGTCAACAGTGAGCTGCAGCAAGTTCATCCCACCCATCAAGTACTGTGAATTGGTTTGGTTTTGGGATTCATCAATTCACAAATAGAGTCCCTAATTTCTTATCCATTTCATAGGGGTTTAGAGAAGTGGGAAGATTTCATGATAATTCCTAAATTAAAATTAAAATTAGCAGATGAAGAGTGCTACAATGTTGAAATGTTACTCATTGAGAGTGGAATCCACAATGATGCCATATAGCATTGCTATCTTGTTTGTCGTATTAACAGCTTTGCCCATGTTTAGTTATGATAGTAATTCAGTTATGCAATTTTGCAATCACTTATCATGTATTTTATACCCGTTGTTTTGTTGTGCTCTGTCTGACACTGATGATACGCTTGGTCCTGGAGGATTTGTATTTAGATCTGATTTACTTGCAAACAAGTGTATGCAACCAACTTGGATTTTTGTTTAAAAATTTATCAAGTCCTATGCTGGTTCCGCCCATGAATTGTGAAATGGTTGGTTTTGCATTGTGCTTCTGTAGCACACCATGAAGGGATGTTTCTTTCAGGATATACTTCATTTCTTAAAGAAAGTAATTGTTCTGTATATTCCAAGAGTGTCGACACCAGTTTAAGTTTGTATCACTTGATGTGTGAACTTCCATCAAATTCAGGTAAAGCACTTCTGAGTTATGCGACCATACTTTTGTTCTTTGGCATATTTGCTTTCTGGCATTCATAGGTTTTATCTACTCGCAATGTTGGTGCAAAAGTTGTCAAGATTTCATAACTACACAACTACTTCTCAAATGCATAGGTTTCATAACTACACATATACTTCTCATAGGCATGTTTACTTCAACAATAAGTTAAAATAACACGACTACATATGTTTTTTGTTCGGATTATGTTGAAAAAAGAACAGTTTAATATGTAGTTCTAATCCCCTAATAAGTAGTCAGATGTAGTTTGTGTTTCTGTGGCACCTATAACACTATACATGTAGATTGCAATATGACTATTTACCAGTGTGCTAATGCTAAGATGTAATTCAAATCTGCAAGGCAAAGCTTAGTATATTAATCATTTTCTGATTTTAATTTTTTTCTTCTTTAGTTGTGTTGTTCACTGCACATTGAAATATTTACTTATTTTCATTTGCTACCAAGACATGTAAGTAGATCATGTAGGTGCAGGATCATGAATATTCATTTACTTAGTAAGTAATGATTTTGAGAAAATACTTAATCACCAAAACTCCAAAAGAGGGGAGAGCAATGACATGACATATTAATTCCTTAGAGTTATGATCCAGATGTTCCAATAGCCCATAACTTTATTGCCCTGTCATAATCTATGCACATCATACCTTATGCCATATTTTTCCATTTACAGACCTATCCATGATACCTAATCACATAAGGAGGAAGGACACATCTCTTTTGCTCCTCTATTGGTTGCACCAGCTTTTCTATGTGTATTTGCTCAACTGTTGATCGACGTCTGATGTTCAGCATCAAGGGAACTTGCCACTATGATGATCGACTCTGTGTCTTTTGCAAACCTCATGGCTGCAAACTGTGTAGTTTGCCGTTCTAAGCTACCAGCTTGAGTGTTCGATTGTTGTGAATTCCTGATCGTAAATTATACCTAATAGTTGTGTAATGTATGGTTCAACAACACCGTTAATGTAATGAAGGGTGTGAACAGAACCATGAGAGCTACAGTGGACATACAAACCATATCATTGCTTCATAATTTGTCATGTTTCTAATGGTATATGATATGATATATCCTTGATCTTGGGTACTGACATCTTAGCTTTACTGTATCTAATTATGGAACCATGTCTATCGAGCATAGACTTGCTTTTGTTCTTCAAATCATGGTAGGGAGCCCGAAGGGTGTAACACCTCTGGTGTTACGAGCTCGCTAAGCACTGAGATTATGGCATGAGAAATAGATCTATAAGTATAGTAAGTTAGTTTAATCAAATGCGATAATGAAAATCCTAACTAGAAAATAAGAAAAGTAGTTTTAATTGTTTGGCACGAAAAGCGATTTCTATAAACTAGAATAAAACATAACTTGTATTTAGTACTTAAAAAAATTGAAGTACAAGTTTTGTAGATGGAAATGCAACATTAATGTTTGGGAAGTAAAGGTTGTTAATTAGTGTTCTTGGAAGCTCAAAAATCAAATTGGAAATTAAAATTTGCCCTTTTCGTTGAATCGACAAAAATTTGAAGTTGTGTTGAAAGTATACTTTTTGGCGCTTTATAAAATACA